ACGATAGCCAATGTCTACCAAGTGAGCGAAAATGGCACTGGTGATAGATCCGGAACCACTTCGACTCGGCCAGCGGGGATGGTGTTCTTTCATGCGGATAAATAACTGCTGTGCCGTTCGACCGACGTAGAGTGCGTCAAAAACGCATCTGAACGAGTAAAAACATCATTGAAGTGGTCAACATCGGTAGTATATCTTTATTCCTTTTGGTTATCAGTGACGAACTTTTGAATGTGACTTTTACCGCTCCACTCAGTCGTCTGATGAGGGTTTCAGCGGCAACTTCACCCCTAAAAGGGAGACTACTAAACAGCTCCTTCTTTTCCACCTTATCGGTGTGTACTTTTGGTACCCGTTCCATCATATTTCGTTGAATGAAGTAGTCAAGATAGCCATTGCTTCTGAGCACGTTGGAGATAAATTTGATTTCATCTTCCAATACTTCCTGTTAGCAGATTCTCCGAGCTCTAGATACCAAACATTTAATCAGGCTCCTCTTTAGCTTGATCAGGACATAGCTGTAAAAATTCGACTCCAGGTTTTCTTACGGTACACGCGGCGTTGTATAGATTCATCACGTCTTCTAATAATGAGTACATCTAGAAACGGTATTCGATCATCTGCTTCTACCTCCTTTGTAACTTTTATGGCCTTGTGTGCGGATTTAAACTTTTCTAGTAGTTGATTCAGTTCTTAGTTTGAATCAGCTATACAAAATATGTCGCCTACCTACCGACAATATTTATGAAGACTAGCAACGGCGTCTTTCAGTTGGTTATTCTCCAGCATCGCCATGAAAAAGTCCGCCAAAAGGGGTCCTAATGGTGATCTCGTTGCCACTCCGTCCTTTTGTCGGTAGACCGTTCCGTTGAAAAGAAAATGCACATTATATTTACACCGAACTAGAAGTTTGCGTAGCGCTTCTGTGGGTATTCCCAAATTAATTTCGTTATCAGTAAGAGGTCTTATGATGAACTGGGTGGTTTCCACTNTCCACTAGTGGCTTATTTGTGAGAAGTGACACGATATCCATGGACAGCATCACCTTATCTGACTCGTCTATATCTCGTATTGTTTCAATAAATTGGAAGGTATCCTTAACACTATGCTGATAACCGTTTCCTTTCGAGTTCAAGGATTCCAGCCAACCATTGAGCGACAGCATGGTATGGAGAATTAGTCATCGATAGGATAAGACGAAGGGGAACCTGAGCCTTGTGGATTTTGGGCAAACCATATTGCCTCGGAATGCATGAACCGGTAGGTCTTATGCGTTCATATAGTTCACTGCTTATGTAACCCTCTTGAGTAAGTTGTTTCAGTATCCCCGTGATTTGTTGTTCAATTTTGTGTTTTTTGTCTTTTTCTATTGGTGTGGTTGTGAACTTGTCCTCTTCCGATACGATAGCTAGCAGTTTGTCGGTAAATTCTTTCTTGTGTATGACCACAATCCCGGTTCCTTTATCTGGGCGACTGAAAATTATATCTTTATTANGGCCAGCCGTGTGGGATTCAGCTCTGCGGTATAAATAACAGGCGTTAATGAGAGTTAATTTGGAAGCTTCCAGCTCTTTGATCGAACTAGGCACCAAATCTGTAATGGCATGATTATGAGTTATTGAAAACAATTGTTCGCCGGAAATTGTGTTCTAAATGCGAGTATGGGCATATTTCAAATTTGAAATATTCATCCTTTACTTGAATTGGTTATCTTTCCTAACTTTATTCACTCTTAAGGACGTTTTACAGTGCTTCCAGTGCGTGCAAGGGATGAAGGACACGTCGACTCAGCCTACAGAAAACACTTTCATAAAGAGATAAGATTTTTCTAGTTTTCGGAGATGGAGCTTAAGAGACTACATATCCAACTGGTAGTAAACGGAGGAACGTATTTGCTTTTTATGGTCATTTTTCATCGATAGTATTACTTTAAGGTGTAGTCAACACCGTTGCAAGTTTGGGGGCCTTATGGACTGAATTAGACTTGAAGATATCTGTATTTATATTTAAACCGTGACCTTAGTCACATTGATTCACTTCATTTTTGTCTCCATAAAACAAGTGAACTTCTTATTTGATTCACACACTCACTCTTCGTTTGAACACTTTGTGAGCTTGGTGGTTATAATCGGATTCGAATTTTTGTGTCTTACTTGGTGATGGTGATGGTTCTGGTTATGCGCCTAGGCATTGTGTCGAGAGATTCCGTTGACGTCTGGAAAATTGTAGATAATCTATAGAATTGTAAAACAAATAAACTTTAAATATCCTTAGTATTTGGAAATGTTTTCTGTAGATCCAGAAAATCTCAGTACTCATAAACATTTGATAGACTCTTGCGAACTCTCACGAGAAAGGTTTTCTTTCGTCTTATCTCATTTGTATTTTGTTAATTCGACCGATTTCTGATTAAGCAAAAAAGAACATCTCAGACAGGCTTATCCTCATCTTTTTATAGCAATATTGTTATCTGGCACAAGGTTGTTTCCATTACAGTATATACTCGCGATCTTTTGACTAACTCTTTGGTAGTCTTAAGTGAATAATAAGTGCTCGTTACTACAAGATACATACCTGATTTTCATTCATCTATGGTTTGTACTTGAAGTTATTGTCTATCTACGTCGAGCACTTGATTCAGTGATCAACCCTATTTACCTATTCTGTTTATTGAAATAATTATCACTAGACCGGAAAAACAGGACAGAATCAGCAGTGCCCACAAACGGATTTCCGTTATTTTTATGCGAAGTATTGCATTTCACTTGCATGTACCGGAGCTCATTCTAAAACTATATACCACTTCAGCACGAAAATTAACTTCTAGGTTCAAATTGCAGACGCAAATGTTTATTTACCCGTAAGTTTTCCCCGAGACAAGCGCGATCGTCAAAACTAATCTACTTGCTCTGATATTTCTTTTAAGAATTTAGGGCCGTTAGCGGTTCTGTTAATTCTTTTGGCAGGATTTTCCATAATAATATACATACTGAAGACTGCTAAGCTAATTTTTGAGCTATTTGTGGATAAGGATTGTTGTTGGTTAGAGACGCTGAGAGACATGACTCAAAATAAAAGCCAGTGGCGCGAATGCCTTACGGTCTGTCTGTTGAAATTCCGTGCCCCGTAAAAAACAAAAAAATATCAAAATGTATACGGTGAAACACAAAAACTATTTTGTTACCCCGTGTTGGACTGTTTCACCCTCTTTCTACTTTGTTCTGTATTCCAATCCACCTATCCCCTATTATTGTTATTGTTATTATTGTTGTGGCGTTGGCACTATGCTTGTCCACAAGCCGGTGTTATATATGTATATAGATAAATATATATTCGTATTAGGTGATTTACAAATTAGTACTGCAAATTGTCTCACGCTTTTCGTCAGTCACGCACTTGGGCTCAAGTTTTACACTCATTAGACCGTGGACACCGGTCCGGATCATTTAGATATTGATTAAGGTTCGCCGGATGTTTCATTAGTGGTCGAAGTTACTGTACATTATGTTTGTGTGTCGTGCATTTGCTCGTTTCATATTCACTTTATCTTTTCATGTGCTTTACCTTGAAATTTCTCAAAGCAATTGAACCATCTAAAATTTACCATTGCCTTGAAAATGCTGAAAAGTTGGAATTTTTGTGCTCTTTTTTGAAATATGTTACAGGATGGCGGTGAGGGTCATCTGGGTTCTGTGAGACGATTCGATACCATTGGTGAAGCGATTGTTGTTTGGGATTCGGGCATTGTAGCCAACTACCGTTGTGGTACACTTGGGTTTGATCTACGTGTTTTGGACAGTGCCCCTACTGGTGTCGAGCATCCAGGCACAATTTGTGAAGGCTGTCATGAGGTTTGCTTCCATCTCTTTGATTTGCAAAATTTTTTGCGTCTCATATGAAAGAAAACACTAATAACGCGTTTCCACTTCCTTTATTAAAGATGATGTTTGTATAATTTTGTTATCCATGTCGTTGTTGTTTAAGAAGACAAGTTATGCTATCCCATTCAGTCAGATTGTAGGTATCAGTAACCGTAAAACAAATTTAAAGTAAAAAATATTGCGACGTGTCCATCTTGTTTTCGCACTTTCAGATAATACCTTGCAAATTTATTCCACATTTAAAATAATCATCCGAAATTCATAGTTAAGGCAATATGTGTACTCGAGCGTACTCTTGTTCGTGATAATTGTTGATATTCACAACCCTGACCACATGATAAATATTTAAGTACTTATGAATGATTCCAAAATCTGTATTCGGCATTCACGCCCGCCAATCAAGTGACATCAAACTATTATCACTATGATAGGACCAGGGTAAAATACTTTAGTTTAACCGATCTTTTCATGAATTTACCCACTCTAGTTACGAATATTCAGACGTTAATTATCAAGCTTGTGTAGTAACTACACACCATAATGGTTAAGTAATACTTTCAGAAGCCGAACTGATTATTATAGGTTCTCGTGTGTGGATGATTAACAAAACCTTACCGAACTGTACAACTTTTCTTATGTAATCCGTAATGATCCTCAAACTCCATTTCTTTAGCTCCTAAATCCTTCAATATATTTTATACCGCTCATTTTAGAAGCATTCATCTAGCTGTCTTTATACTGCGATGGATATATAGAATTGCAGGTCCATCAATAACTAGAAACATTATTCTTGTCCTAAACGCGCACTTGATGAGTCATTAAAGTAAAGTAAAATAAAGTAAAGTAAATTATGCAACGTCGCCTCGCAATACCCTCTATCCAAATTCTTCTGCGATTGTAGTCTGGATCATGTGTGCGTACACAAAATAAAAATAATTCCATTCTGCATCGGTCGTCGCGCAGCCTAATCAGGACCGCACTGCCCATTGCATCGAGCGGGGTGGGTAGTGATAAATGGGCTACTGCTCTGTTTAACTCTTTGTATTCCGTTCCCAACCCTCTCCCTTTACCCTTCTACCGACCTGTAATAGTCCCTCAAGCAACTTGGATGTTGCTCGCCAAAGGTCATTGCCAAATAGCACTGTAAGTGATTTACCACGGACGGGATTGCAGATTCTAAAGCCTCGTCAATCGCTTAATCTGGGGACGTTCAACGTGAGGACTTTGAGGCAGCTAGTTCAACAAGCTTGTCTGGCTCGTACAATGGAATCCTTAGGAATCGATATTTGCTGCGTGTCGGAAACTCGGATCCAGGATCCTACTACTCTAAGCCACTTGAGCGCG